GGTGGCTTTTTTGGGAATAGGGGAGACAGTGACATGTTTAAATGCATGGTAGTCAGCTCATTCAGCAAAGGCAAGTGGTGGTTTAACCAGTTACTTGGGTTCCATTTTCTCTCTCTTGGCTAAAATAGGTGGATAGCCTATCTGTAAATCCAGGCTCAGACTGTTCTCCTGAGATGATGGTGTCCCAGCCTGGGTGTGGTTATGCAGTCTTACTGTGTACTTGGAAAACAGAGCAGCAGTCTCCAACAGAGAGGATAGACAGTTCAGCAGCTAGCAGGTGAGACTACTGGAATCCAATGGGACAGAGCAAGACAGTCTGACCATCCCTATTTATGTTATGGAGCTTCAGGAACAGCTTCATGATTAAAATGGCTTGGAGCAGTATCCAACTGAACAATTGCTAATGGACTTTGGACTGCACAGGGGAACTTCCTCTCCCCTGCTCTCCCCACATTTCCCCCCCAACTTTCTGGAAAAGATCGTGGAAGGCATGCAGGGAGAGGAGGGGCGGGAAATGGTGTAGCGCAGAAAAAAAATAATGCTTGGGCTAACAGAACTGTTTAGCTGAATGCCTCCTTTGGGTTTACAGTGGTACCTCGCAAGACGAATGCCTCGCAAGACAAAAAACTCGCTAGACAAAAGGGTTTTTTGTTTTTTGAGCTGCTTCGCAAGACGATTTTCCCTATGGGCTTGCTTCGCAAGACGGAAACGTCTTGCAAGTTTGTTTCCTTTTTCTTAACACCATTAATACAGTTGCGACTTGACTTCAAGGTGTGGTAGCCTTTTTTGAGGCTTTCTCGACACCGTGCTTCACAAGACGAAAAAAATTGCGGAACGGATTAATTTCGTCTTGCGAGGCACCACTGTATTTAGTTTTCTGTTACAAAGCCTGAACAATTTTTTTGCCATCAAAATCATGACTATGTGGCTATGTATTATTCAGTCAGTTAGAAGTTTGATAGGAATATCTACTTGTGGGGATTCCCCTGTTTCACTTTTTACGAGTGTTTGCCAAACTAAAGAAACTTTCCATATTGCTGTGTTTTAAATTTAAGCATGGGACCCGGGTGCAAGAATTTTGGAAGCAGAAGGAATAAAATAGCAGGCAACCTTAGGTCCAAACAGACACCAGTTGGCCATAATTACTGGCATAGTTACTGATAGCACCCACCATGCTAGGAGAGACATACATAGGACCATATCTGCTTATGGAATACCAGGAGGTGAGGTTACCCAGGGAGCGAGGTACTGTGCCTCCAACGTTATTCACGTCCATCTTCATTCCATGGAGCCACGAAGCTACAAGTGAATCCTCGCAGGAAACACCAGGCAGCTTGGTATTCCAGAAGGAGCATTTCTGTGCGGTGGCAATGAACGAGGAGGTGTTTTATTCCTGCTTGGCCAGCCAGTCTGGAGAGTGGAAGATGACAATTCTCCCGACAAGGATCTACATGTGACCCTGCCCGTCCAGTCAGAGGAGAGGAGGCATCCCAGTGTTAAGGCTGTCCTCCAGGAGACTGGGAATAGAAATTCACAATACAGTGGTACCTCAGGTTACATACGCTTCAGGTTACAGACGCTTCAGGTTACAGACTCCGCTAACCCAGAAATAGTACCTCAGGTTAAGAACTTTGCTTCAGGATGAGAACAGAAATCATGCGGCGGCAGCAGCAGGAGGCCCCATTAGCTAAAGTGGTGCTTCAGGTTAAGTTTCAGGTTAAGAACAGACCTCCGGAACGAATTAAGTACTTAACCTGAGGTACCACTGTAAGAATTTCCTTTCATTCCAGGATGATGAGGAACCATTTGTGAGCACTCATTGGGTTTGGTCAGTCAACTAGCTACAAATCCACCCAACAGTTACTTCGTCTAACCCACATTTTACCAGCTTCTTCGCAAGAAGATCATGGGGGACTTTGTCAAAAGCCTTACTGAAATCAAGATACTCTAAATCCACAGCATTCCTCGGATCCACCAAGCTTGTAACTCTATCAAAAAAAGAAAAGAAAGGAGATTCATCTGACATAACTTGTTTTTGAGAAACGCATGCTGGGTCTTAGTAATCACAGCATCCTTTTCTAAGTTCTCACAGACTGACTGTTTAATTATCTGTTCTAGGACCTTTCCTGGTATCAATGTCAGGCTGACTGGTTGGTAGTTATCTGGGTCTTCTTTTTCCCCTTTTTGAAGAAGGGGACAACATTTGCCTGCTTCCAGTCTGCAGGAACGCCACCAGTTCTCCAAGAATTCTCAAAGATTATAGACAGAGACTTTGAGATTACATCCACAAGCTCCATTAGTACCTTGGGTTAACGAAGATATAAGCATCAGAACAGGTTGCATAATGTTTTAGGGGTCTTTGCCTGCTGATGCAGTGAAGAAGTAGAGGGCAGCTTGGAGCTGCTTATTCTCAATGCTTTTTCAACACAAAAGGTTGCTAACCTAGCACTTATATTTTGGGGATTTGGTAGAAAGAAGGTTATCATACCTGTAACCCAGGGAAAGAATTCTGTGTCTCTGCTAAGACTTGCCACTCATCCACTTTAAATGTTATTTCTGTTTACCCAACTACCCCTTTACAGATTTGCAGGAGACCCACATTTTGACAAGAGTCATTTAACAACATCAAATCTAGTTAAGAGTATGAGACTCCAAGATGTTACTGCTATCACAACCAGATATCCCTTCAGGCTTTGCTTTCTTCTAGGGAAGCTCCAGTTCGGGATGTCATTCTCCATCAGACATCAGGTAGAATTCACAACAAGAATGTTTCTACTCACCTCATTGGCAGCATTGGCAGAGGTAAGTGGAAGAAATTCTGGCCTTGGCAAAAATGAGGAAATAGAGTGGATTTGTGTGAAGAGTTCAAGCCTGCATGATCTAGTTAGGTTCCATCTTTGCACCTAAGGCAGGTTGCTCACCTAGAACTTTTCTGTGCAGCTGCTGTTCCTCTTTCCAAACCTGCTCTCACACAGACATACTTTTGTTCTACTGGATTCTCATTCTAACCCCTGCACAACTGCAGCCTCTTTCCTCCTATGACTAGCACTCCTCCTCTCAACTTTGGCCCAGCGAAGTCAGCATGTCACAGGGCGAAAACGGATTGTAGAGAGGCTGACTTAAAATTTACACAGCACTCTTGGAATGTTCAGAGCACTTCACATACAGGATTTTGCTTCCACCACATCTTTTACTCAATCTAAACAACTAATGGAGCACCTTCCTCCATTAGTGTGCATAAGGGTGGGTAGAAAGAGGCTCCTGTTTCCTCAGAGATGGGGTGGAGGGGGGGATTTTCCAGGCTTTCGACTCAGTAAAAATACAAGAGTTCTGTCATACGTTTTCTGCTTTGTAATTTTGAGGGATGAAAACACTTAGAGAGGCAGTAATCGAAGCAAAATGCTGCACTCGAAAGCTTTGGCTCTGCTGCTTTCCCAACTTGGGTTCTGTCTTTGCAGGGACTTCCAAGAAGCACGCTGGCTCAGGTCTGTTTGCACTCTGCACCTTGGATGGTAAGTCCTCTTGCTTTCCTGGAAAGGAATCTCTGCAAAGGATTTGGGACCTGAGCTGAAATAGCTTTCAGGGTTAAGAAACTGCAAATTAGCAATCAACCCCAAAACAGAAACTGTCTCAAAACGTTTTAATTCTGGAGACTACTTAAGGTACTTCCAGATTATCACTATTTTGCAGGAGAGATTCAAGTACATGCCAGAAATCTTGATTTGCACAATTAAAGTAGGTTAAAGGGCTCTTTTGCCCTAATGCAACAAATTCATTACAAAGAACAGGAAAGTGATGGACAAATGCATTGGAAAGTGTGGAATAAACAAATGATTAACAAGAAGACATGTAAACACCCCACAAACAAAACAGAATGATTTCTCGTTGTTGTGCAACCACTCCATAAACAAATTGGAACAAACGTTCAGTAAAGACTGGAGATAGTCTGACCACTGTATAAGCTTCATGCAAGCAAATCAGAGTGAAGGCCAAATAAATAGGTTGTCTGAAGGAGCGCTTAGAAATATTTCCTCTAGTGCAGGGGTCAGCAAACTTTTTCAGCAGGAGGCTGGTCCACTGTCCCTCAGTCCTTGTGGGGGGCCGGACTATATTATTTATTATTGTTGTTGTTATTATTATTTATTAAACAAATTCCTATGCCCCACAAATAACCCAGAGATGCATTTTAAATAAAAGCGCACATTCTACTCATGTAAAAACATGCTGATTCCCAGACCGTCCGTGGGCCAAATTTAGAAAGCGATTGGGCCAGATCCAGCCCCCGGGCCTTAGGTTGCCTACCCATGCTCTAGTGCAACCATCACATCCAGGAATATTAGAAGGAATATAGACTGAAAAACTTAACATCCCAGTTTGGAAGACAACATTTAATTTCTGTCTAGCGTTTTAATTTATTTTGTCAACGCTATCTTGCACGTGCCATACCACTTAGAATGATTCTATTGTGTGCATTTTGAAAACTGTCATCTTGGCTCACTGTTACTCTGAAATGACAGCTATGTTACTAAGGAAGGTTGAAGTCAATTTGCTTCAATTGTTTCATCATTCACATGTCACAGTTACCCTACTTGAAGATGAAGGAAAGAGAATGGATACAATCTTGAGGCAACTGAAGAATGCTCTGGAAATAAAAGGCAATGCCTGTGTAGCATTATTGCCTCATTCTAGGTCAGGGGTGAGGAACCTTTTTCGGCCTGAAAGCTGCATTGCCTCATCAATAATCTAGGGGCCAGAGGCAAAAGCAGGTGGTGTGACAGGTGTTGTTATAGGAACAAAAGTCCAAAACGCTGTCCCTCCCCGGCCAATGACGAGGGACAAAGGGTAGAAAGGTAGAAAAGTTTATTTCTAAGCAAAGGATGCACAAAACTTTTATACAATTGTAGCAAACACACAAACCACAGAAATGTGTGATCTCTTACATCACTATTGGCTTGGAAAGTGCATGGACAAAGCATGCTTAAGTCAGGTATTTTTCTTCTTGGCTACAGGACAGTTTATTATTGACCCTTGATCGATCTCAGACCAGGCTAGGCATAACTGACCTTGCAGTTGCAACTGTAGGTAGATCTTGTGGTCTAAGCAATTGTGGAACTGAGGAACTTTGTTTCTTTATACTCACAGAGGTGGTAGCTTAGGCACTCTCAACAGTGATGCTTAATGAATGTCTTAACACTTCAGCCCCTCCTGATCTTCCCCTCAGGTAGACTGAACCTTGTCTATCTAGGCAGTCCCTAACTGACAGCCACGTCACAATCTGTTCACTCTAACAGATAGCCACTATCTAAATTGCTCAGACAGAAAGTCCCTAGTTTAACCTAGGTCCTTGTCTAACCCACAGACAATCCCTGGCTCCCCTCTCTGAGACAGCCTTTACCCATTGCTATCTGACTGTTAACTGTCAGCTTTCAACTTAAATTCCACCCTCTCTTTCTCTCATGATTAGCTGATCAGCTCGCCAACCCCCACGGGTTGTTAGATCACAAGGAGGCAGACCGAAGGCCTGTCCCTCATAGACTGCTGTAGTTGTGGTATCTAAATCAGAATGGATGTGAGTGTTCTTATCAGAAAAATGTATTGCACATTGGTCACAGTGATCTACTGAAGGCTCACCTGGGCCAGATCATCGCTTTGGAAAGCTGGCTGACATTGTGCAGAAGTACACTTTGTATAGAATAGGTGTTCTGTCATGAGCTCAACACCTGTGATTGGTTGAAGGCATCACAAGTCTTCTACAACCTGTGCTCTAGCCTTTTACCCAACTGTTTCCTTGCCTCTATAGATGAACGATTTCTATGTTTTGGGTGAGGGTGCCCAGGTGATCTTCCATTTTCAGAAAGAGACAGAGGCCCAACAAGACCACCAGCCGTATTGGGGAGGGGGGGAGGACATCCATTTGAGACTTAAGTAAATCATAATGATCTCCAAGGCAAACCATCTTAATGCCTCTTCCTCATTGCTATCACTTAAAATGTCTGGAGCAACCCACAGCTTGAACTCAAGTAATAATCTGTCTATTAAAAGGAAATCAAAACAGGCTTCCCCACTCACAGAGTACTAAACATGAAATCAAGTTCATGTCAAGCCAAATATAATGAAAGACATTGGAATGGGAATCTACTGCACCCAAAATAATGTTTCTAATATAAACTCTGTGGCACAGCATAGGGATGGAAGAAAATTGTTGTCTTTTATGCTGGTTTAGAACTCTGCTTAACTTTCTCTTTCCCCTGTAGGGACACTCAAACTGATGGAGGGAGCTGACAAGCTACTGTGGTCAGTGCAGGTTGACCACCAACTTTTTGCTCTAGAAAAACTGGACGTTACTGTGAGTTCTGTTCTAGCTTGCAATGACCAGGTCATTTGCTTTTAGTAGTACAAAGTCAGACAAATTCTCCAGGTTCACGCTATTGGCATACCTCCTTTGGAGGAGAGATTGCCACCACTCCTGCCAACGTAGGAAGAGCTTATTTGATCAGGTCAATGTCCCATCTGCTCCAACACCCTGTTCTCACAGGGGGACACCTGCAAGCGGGAGGACTCTCCCCTCTTGTGGTTTCCAGCAACTGGGATTCAGAAGCACTGCTGCCTCTGACTGTGGGACAGAGCACTGCCTCCATCATGACTAGTAGCCATTGATAGACCTCCTCCATGATTTGTCTAATCCTCTTTTAAAGCCATCATTGCATCCTGTGGGAGAGTGTTTCATACTTTAACTATGAACTGTGTGAAGAAGTACTTTCTTTTATTTATGCTAAACCTTTCAATATTGAACTTCATTATATGTCCACAGGTTCTAGTGTGATGAGAGAGAGAAACTTTATCTACTGCTGTTTATAATTCTATAAACCTCTATCATGTCACCTCTTACTTGTCTTTTCTCTAAACTAAAAAGTCCCAAATGCTGCAACTTTTCCTCATAGGGGACTTGGTCCATCCTCTTCATCACCACTAGATGAGGTCCATGAGTGGTACTATCAAATTAATATCTTTTTGTCCTGACATGAATCATTTTGCACATTTTGTAGTGATTTGACTTCCTTTGTTTTACTAATCCCAGTTTGTTTGACAACACCTACAACTCACCCAGATTCCTGGGCACCGCTCAAGATTTAAGTTCAGGGTTTCTGCACCCCTGGTTGATTCTATGACACAATCACTTAGGGTATCTAATAAATGTGACTCTTTTTCATGACTGGAACTCATATGTCTATGTGAGAGTAGCTGAAGTCATCCATTACTACAATTTCTCTTTTGGATGCTTCCTTGAATTTGTTCTTCCTCTCAGTATGTCCTTGAGCAATTTGATCAGGGCAACAACAGAATGTCCTCAGTACTAAATTATTTTTGGGCCCAATATCACACCTGTGGAGGGGTCTGCATTTTGTGGGATTTCTAGCTTGTTGGACTCAATGCCCTCTTTGACGTGCAGAGTGACATCACCTCTGGTAGGTCCTTCTATGTCCTTCCTATAAAGTTTATATCCAGAGAGATAACTCTGTCCCACTGGTTCTCTTTGTTCCACCAGGTTTGTGTCAAGCCCACTATATCAATGCTTTCCCCTAAGACCAAGCACCCCAGTTCTCCCATCTTGGCTCAGAGGCTTCTAGCATTAAACACATATATACAGTCTCTCTCTTCAGGTGTCTTTGGTAGTTTTGTTTTGACTTGTGGTGTTTTGGCCTCTCTGACTTACTATCCTGTGCCCCTGTGCTCATGTCTAGATCTAAGCCTTCCCCCTTTTAAATTTTCACCGATTTCATAATTTTAACCCCAGAGGTGGGATTTGTTGCAAATTGGACCCACTCAGCTACCAGCTTTCTGGCTCCCACTTCGTTTTTCTCACTAGATTCAGGGGAGAAGGAACTGATGCCCCAGTAAGGGGTGGGGAAGCAAGATTGTTATGTGAATGAGCATCAGAGGCAGTTGTATTGTTCTAAACAAGATGGTGCAAAGGAAGGTTGAAAGGAGGTATTTTAGCAACTTGTACCTGGAGAACTTGTCTGAACAAGTAACACTTACAGGAAACAGAGATTTCTGTTATTCTGATGCCTTATGAAGAAGAAGAAGAAGAAGAGTTTGGATTTGATATCCCGCCTTTCACTCCCTTTAAGGAGTCTCAAAGCGGCTAACATTCTCCTTTCCCTTCCTCCCCCACAACAAACACTCTGTGAGGTGAGTGGGGCTGAGAGACTTCAAAGAAGTGTGACTGGCCCAAGGTCACCCAGCAGCTGCATGTGGAGGAGCGGAGACGCGAACCCGGTTCCCCAGATTACGAGACTACCGCTCTTAACCACTACACCACTACACCACACTGGCATGAGAAGATGAATGTCTAAATTGAGATTCTATATTCATTTGTTTATGACACTTACGTACCACTTTTCCTTCAGAAAGTTCAGAGCATCTTCACAAAGCTCCAATAAATGTCTCATACACTCACTGAACAAGCTGAGTTACTTAGTTTTAACACTGTTAAAAACACAGTGTACTTCTGAATCCATTCCCTGGGCTCCTGCAAACTTTAGCCAGCAAAAGAGCTGGTTGCATGAATATCTGGTGTTGACACAGGGAGCTATAAAGTTTACTGTTCAATTTCCACTACCCATAATGTTTTGCAGCTACTAAATCCTTTGGGAATCTCTTTTTATCTCGTGAACAACCCTGAGATCTTATGATGAAGGGCGGTATATAAGCCTAATATATAAAAAACTGGCTATATTCATTAGGCTAGTTTCTTGTCTTGTTGCATCAACCTCCTTTATCTAATGTTAGTGACAAGCTGGGGCCAGATGAAAACGTATGAGCATTGCTCACAGAGGTTGATGGGATTTCTACCTACCACAGGGAACTTCTGCTAATCAGAAAATTTTGAACCCTTAGGGAAATGGCCATGAGGAGGTGATTGCCTGCGCTTGGGATGGACAGACGTACATCATAGACCACGGCCGCACTGTGGCTAGGTTCCAAGTAGATGAAAATGTGAGTGCCTTCTGTGCAGGTGAGCTGCTTTCCTATCAGCAGATCCACAGGCGTGGGAAATAACTGATTAACGTATGTGATAAAGTGTTCCTACCTCATTGGTAGAGCACTTTTTTTCCTACAGAAGGTCCCAGCTTCATTCCCTGTCATCTCCAGTGAAGGGGTCTCAGGTAGTAGGACTTGGAAAGGCCACTAAGACTTTGGGGAGTCACTGCAAGGTAGAGTAGACATTCCTGGGCTAGATGATAATAATAATAATAATAATAATAATAATAATAATAATAATAATATCTTTATTGTCATATAGATGAATTAATAGCCTGACTCGCTATTAGGCAGCTTTGTATGTTCATGAGAAAAGCTTTCTGCTGGACTCTTCTACTTTCAGTCAGGTAGACATAGCTCAGTGATAGAGTTTCACATCCAGCTTTCATAAGAACATAAGAACCCCTTTGGATCAGACTAAAAGCCTATCTAGTCCAGTACTGGCTTCTCTCAGTGGCCAACCAGATACCTATGGGGAGCCCACGACAGGAACTCAGCAGCACTCTCCCTAGTTCAGCCTCTCGTATTCCTTCTTAAAAAGGATCTCCAGAGTTAGGAGGACTGAAAAGACACCTTCCAAGACCTTTGAGAGCTACTGCCAGTGAAAATAGACAGTTATGGGCTAGATGGATGCAAACTTCCATCTATGTGCCCATTAGGCCTGGCAGAGCATCCTAATTTGTCCTGTGAGGCTTTTCCCCTTGCACTCTTTTTCTTCTTGTAGTTGTTAGACTGCTCCATTTAGCATGGCCAAGGATCAGGGATGACAGAAACCGTAGTCTAGCAAGGTCTCAGGACCTAAGATGGGAAAGACTGCTACAGTCATCCATGTGATACAGCAGCAAAAAAATCTAATGCTATTCTAGGCTGCATCAACAGAAGTCTAGTGTCCAGATCAAGGGAGGTAATGGTCCCACTCTATTCTGCCTTGGTCAGACCACACCTGGAATACTGTATCCAATTCTGGGCACCACAATTTAAGAAGGCTATTGACAAGCTGGAACACGTACAGAGGAAGGCAACCAAGATGATCCAGGGTCTGGAAACCAAGCCTAAGGAGGAACGGCTGAGGGAGTTGGGTATGTTTAGCCTGGAAAAGAGGAGACTGAGAGGAGATAGGAATAGCCATCTTCAAATATCTAAAGGGCTGTCCCATGAAAAATGGGCAAGCTTGTTTTCTTGTGCTCCAGAGGGTAGGGCCCAAAGCAATAGATTCATGTTACAAGAAAGGAAGTTGGGATGGAGAGGATTTCATTATCTAAGAAGTGATGCTCTAGATTAGATCTGCTGGAGATGTGGAATATGCAAAAGGCTCTTCTGTATCTCCTGCAGATCTACCATGAAGCCAGAGCCAAGGTGAATACATTGCTGGCAAGGCATTTTTCCGCCAGACTGACACCAAATAATATGATCCTTCAACTCACAAGGAGAATAATCAAATAATGAAACACTGCTAAATAAGTTTATGAACACTCTACACATCAAACACAGGCATTTTGCTGTCTGCTATTCAAGACTTAATTAGGGAGTGTGGTGCAGTGGCAGGGTTTAAAATAAATTGTGGTAAATCTGAACCAAATCATTAACTTTAATGGAAATCAACATATTAAGGCATTGTAGAGGTTTAAATCTGTGAAGTGCTTTTAGAGGCATGTGGACATGCACTTCACTGCATCTCTCACAAACCTCCTTAATGAGAATTATGGGGAATTGTTTGACTCAGTAAAAAGAGATCTTAAGGTTTGGAGAGTGCTGAATCTTAGCTGGGTGGTGCCTCATCTCACTAATGTGCTTCTGGAGTTTCCTCTCCTTTGATGGCTGCTTTCCCTTCTCTAGGTCTCTATGCCTGCAAAGGAGGCTGCAATAGCCCTTGCCTGGTATACGTCAGTTTCAACCAAAAGATCTACATCTACTGGGATGTGCAATTGGAGAGAATGGAATCTACCAGTTTGCTGAAGATACTAGAGAGTAACTCCGAATACAAAGATCTCCTACTCCAGCTGGGTGTGGGTATGTCCCAAGCCTCATATAACTTGAAGATGGTGAAAGTGTTCCTTGTAATAAATAGGACAGAAAGAGATGAAAGAAAGGGAAAAGAACCATAAGCAGCAAATTTAGAATTGTACCCTAAAATTGCAAAATTCTATGATTATATTTATGCAAAGCATTTAAAACACACATTAGTAACTTCCCCCCTCCTGCTGTTTACAGATGTTTACAGACATTTCAATATTTTTCAAAACCAGGTTAGTGGGCTAAATTAACAAAGCAGACTGCATATGTATTATTATTTCCCTGGTTGAATATTGAGCCATCTACATATGGGTTATGTTCCACTATTCACCCAAGGCAAGGACAAATGACTATTAAGGTTAATTAGGCTTCCTCATTCCAATTTTGGTCCCTGTCTTCATCCATTGTAGACATGTCTCTTCCTCTATTCTCCATTCTGCCTCGGGCTCAGGGTGTTATGTGTAGATACAGATTCAGAAGTTCTAGAGATGGACATGGATTTGGAGAAGAGCCATAGCACTGTGGTAGAACATGCTTTGCTTGCAGAATGTCCCTAATTCAGTCCCTGGCATCTCCAGGTAGGACTGGGAATGGCCACTATCTGAAGCATTGGAGAGCTGCTGCCAGTCAGCGCAGACATTACTGGTCTGACTATGTAAAAGGCAGCTTCCTAGGTTTCGTCCCCTGAAAACAGGAACGCCTCTTTCTTCTAAACTGAGGACAGGTGTTGTCTGTACACTTAAAAACATTTCTCTGCAACTGAAATAAATGGAGCACAATAATTGCCTTGCTGGGAGCTCAGCAGTCTTTTTGTGATACCAGTGAGCCAGATGCCTCTAGGAATTGATGAAGCAGGGCACGAGGAAATAGCTTTCCCCTGCTTTTTGTTCCAAACATCTGGTTATTCAGAGAATGTTGCCTCTGTGCACAGATTTCATGGGCAGCAATCTATGAAATACCAATTTTCCATGAAGCTTTTAGAAATGGATGCCAAGACTGTTACTGAGCACACAGTGACCATCTTTTGCTGGCATATCATAGAACCAATATTGTGAATAGAGTGAGCATGCATTTGGATGTCCAGCAAAGATCAATGGTTGAATCTGTTCACAAGATAAATTCTAGATCAGTTGGCTGCAAAAAAGCCAGCTCTTGGATGCAAGATAATCTTGTGAATACAGCCTGAGATTCCCACAAACCACTGCCATACTTCTGAAGGGCAAAATATGAATTACAAGAGGTAATTCCTACAATCATTTTTATATGTCATTATGTTGATAGGAGAACCAGTCACATACTGATTCTTGCTAAGGCTCCAGTACATCTCATCAGTATGTCTCTCTTTCTTTCATAGCTGGAGATGATGTTTCTGCAGTCAAAGATTTGATTCACAAGACACTCTACTTTCCAGAGGAGCAGCTAAATAGCCCTTCTCAGTTCATGCCCACAGCTAGATCCTCTTCCAGGAGCTATCCTATTTCCCAAGAGACCTTATGAGCAGATGACATATACTCACACAGTGAACAGCTCTGCTTCTCATTCTGCTACCCCTCATTTGTGCAAATTAAGCACTCTTAAGAACCAGGACTTTGAATGAAGGAGTTGGAGTAGCAGCATGAATCTTCAAGTGAAGCTGCTGTCTGAAGTCAACCTAATAGGAAATGCCCTTTTCAATTTGTCTCAAGGTCCTCATTGCTGTTGTTACTTTCTCATCAGTCACTTTATCTGCTGAAAACTTTAATAAAGGTAATTTTAAAAGATCCAGGGGGAAACTGATGTGTTTGTTCATGTGTCTAGTTTGGATCGGTATTTGGATTGTCGGAATGAGCAATCTTTTGCCTTTTAAAAAAAAAAGTCCCACCAGTTAGATCTTCATATGTTAACAGAGATGTGCAGGAGCTCATCACAGATAGCCATGCCTCCACTGTGGCTATGAGAAACAAAAAAGGCATTTATCTAAAAAAGACCCCCCCACACAATCTATGAAAGTCTAGGAATTCTGTGTAAGAGAGAGTGTGGGTGGCCCTACCTACTTCTTCACTTGGTCCTGCAGCCCCTAGAAGGCTAGCATCAAAGTAATGTGGTCCTTGGGCTGAAAAATGTAAACCCACTAATCAGTTCTATGTACAGGAACACCAGCAAAGAGCAAGGCACAAGTTGGCAGTAGCAACTGATTGCTGCTTATACAGCTTCTTAATTTTTATTTTTATTTTTTTGATAAGCCACAAAACAGTTGCCCTCTGTTGGGTGGTCTTTCTCTTGCATTGCTTTATCTCTGCTTCTTTTCCCTTGTAAAGGCAACACAAGTCATTTCTGTAGAATCACCTTCCCAGCCCTATGGAAACTCCCCTCTTCCCCCGACGGATACTCTCCTTCTCTGAGACCCTCCTTCATGAAAACAGAAAAATTGTCACCCTGGCAGTGAGAAATCTTTATCAGCTCAAGGTCAGCCCTTGTTATCCAGGACATCAAATTTGTAGCCTGAGATGCAGAACCTCATTATACTGAACACCCACATACTGTTCTGTCTAGCGGGTAAATCGTCATACATGTGACACTATGTTTAATACAAAAATTAGCCCCCACACCCCTGTTTTGGCCAGTGGTGATCATTACGCAACAATTGTTTTGCCTCCATTTAGATTTTAGAAAGATTGTTTTACTGAGAGCAGGATTTGAACTTCCAACATACCGTAACCCTTCAGTAGCCCTGTGAATTTCAGGCCTCACCCCCTTCCATTTATTCAGTGACAGTGACAGGTGTACATGGCCTTATTTTACTCCCAGAAAGAGCCAGTTCCTGATATTTTTCTACCACCTCTGGGTAGATGGGGCTGCTGTTCTTCAGGGCAAACTTGACAGCTGCCTCCTGGTAATGGGGTTGGAGGTTTGGACAAGGGTGATCCCAGCAGTCCCTAGAAGCAGGTGTGACAGGCCGCAGTTGGACACAAAGTGAGGCTGGGCTTTTCCCTGGAAGCAGGCGCTTGTATCTGTACAAAATTAAGAAAGCAACATAAATGATCGTGCTTATGTGGAAGATTTTGAGGACTTGAAATGTATAAACAGTGCATGATTTCACTTTGATGATGGGCATTGAAGCTAAAAAGAAGAAGAAGAAGACCCTAGGGTGGGTCTACACACTGGAGGAGCGGGACAGAAGCTATTAATAAGTCAGAAATCATTATAACAAAAGGGGGGGGAACGCTATGGAAAATTGCATTGAATTTTTAAAAAACTCCAGCGCCATCTGGTGTTGCATGTTTGTAACACATTCAGAACACTCTTTTTTTTTTTACTAATGTAGCTGAGTCCCTTGTGTGTTTGAGGCTGAGGTGAGATTTGAATTGGGGGTTTCCGATTACCGTAATTTTCGCTCCATAACACGCACTTTTTTGCTCCTAGAAAGTAAGGGAAAATGCGTGTGCGTGTTACAGAGCGAATGCACTGGATCGGAGCCGTGGCTGCCGTCAGTCAAGCAAAGCGGGAGCCGCTTGCAGGGCTTTGCACGGCTCTAACTTTGCTTGCTTTACAGCCAGGAGGAGGGGCTCCTTTGCTTGCTTTAAAGCAACCTACGGAGGGGCCGGGGAGGAGGGAGGGAAGGAGAGCCATGGCAGCAAAGCGGGCAGCAGCCGCTTACATGGGAGGAGGGACAGACGGGAGCCATAGTGAGCCGGGAGAAGGCAGGCGCTTCAAAGCCAGCAGGCGCTTTTAAAGTAGCCAGCAACAGCAGCTGCAGCCTCAGCTCTAAACGGAGCAATGAGGCTGCAGAGGGACAGGAGGGCTTGGATCAGGAAGGATAAAATTTAAGCAACCAGCAGCAAACAAAAAACAAAAAACCAACCTGGAGCTCTGAGCCACGGAGAGCAGTGAAAACCAGGAAGTAAAAGAAAAGGCTATCCCCCGCTTCTCAGCTGTTTTCAGGCAGGATAGATTTGAGCATTGTCTGGGTCCTAGTGCCCCTACCGCTTTTTTGTGCTCCATTCTATTGCTGCTGGTGGCTGCTTATCATTCAGGCTGCAAGGAGGAGCGCTTTTACACAGCTAATGGCGAATCCCCTGCAATCCAAGTCCTCCTCACTTGCTCAAATCTATTCTGCCTCAAAACAAGGAGCAGAAGGAAAAGGCTGCAAACTGTTAAATGGAAAAAAACCCAGGCACAGGGCAAATACCTTAAGTATACCTTTAAAGCAACAGTGCTCTTTCCCTCCCTCCTCCCCGCTCAGCTCCCCGAAAAGCTCCTTCTCCACACACACACACACCCCACGCGTGCTTCTTGTCCCTTGAGTTCTTTTCCTTCCCTCCCCACTTAAAACGTGGTTACAAAGCACGGATCCACATGGATCCTCAGGATTTTTGCACTGGGTCACCCCAAACTCACCATCAGATCACATATCTGTGGCCACAGCATGAACCACAAAAATCATACATCTACTGTTTCGTTTAGAATATTTTTTTCTTGTTTTCCTCCTCTAAAAACCACGTGCGTGTTATGGTCAGGTGCGTGTTATCGAGCGAAAAATACGGTAAGTAGAAGGTAATATTCTTGTTATTTCTAGGGGGCATTTCCTGCTTAGCTAGTTTTCCAGAGATGTGTGGATTTTGTGAGACTGCAGCTTAGTTGGGGATGAAAGAAAAATAAAGATGATACCATGCGGGTGTTCTGGGAGGGAGCTGCTTGCCGGTGGGGGCAAAGCCACAGCAATAGCCCTCTGGCAGGGGTGCCTCTGCCACTAACCAGGATGGACGTGGGCTTGGGGCTCTGTGAGAGCACAGGATTGGCTCCATTTGTGCATCATAGTATAGTTCAGAATTATTCTGAGGGTCATCGAGTCCAACCCCCTGCAATGCAGGAATCTCATCGAAAACATCCATGACAGACGCCCACCCAGTCTCTGCTTGAAAACCTCCAAGGAAGAAGAGTCCACCACTTTCCAGGGGATTCAGCACCTCCCAAAACAATAACTCAACCAAATGGCAGCTATCCTTTGAACTTTGCACTTTCCAAGTTCTGCAGTGCTGCTCTCTAATAAAAAAAATGTATACAGCAATATATTTTAGGAAATGTGCATAAAAAGGTACTTGTGTGAAAATAACATACAAAAATGCACATTATGCCTGGCCCAATATGCATATTAGGAGAAATGTGCCCTAAAACAAACATTCTCTCTCTCTCTCTCTCTCTCTCTCTCTCTCTATATATATATATATATATATACAGTGGTGCCCCGCAAGACGAACGCCTCGCAAGACGGAAAACCCGCAAGACGAAAGGGTTTTCCGTTTTGGAGGCGCTTCGCAAAACGAATTTCCCTATGGGCTTCCTTCGCAAGACGAAAGCCCATAGGGAAATCTCCGGGACAGCAGGGAAGCGCAGCGCGTCTTCCCCACTGTCCTCGGACCTCCTCCCACCGCCAGGCTTCGGAAGGCTGCTCCGAAGCCTGGCGGGGGGGCGGAGACCTCCTCCCGCCGCCAGGCTTCGGAGCAGCCTTCCAAAGCCTGACAGGGGAGCGGAGAGGTTTTTAAAAACCCCGAGACAGCGGGGGACTTCTCCGCTGTCCGGGGCGATTTTAAAATGCTGCCCGGCAGCATTTAAAAAAACCCGGGACAGCGGGTTTAAAATCGCCCCGGGCGGCGCGTTTCTCCGCTGTCCCCGACGGCTTTTGAAGGCAGGCGGGGGGGGGGAGCAAAGACTTTCGCCCCCCGCCTGCCTTCAGAAGAGGTCCAGGACCTCTTCTGAAGGCAGGCGGGGGGCAAAAGTCTTTGTCCCCCCTGCCTGCCTTCGCAGGGGCTTTTAAATCGCCCCGGACAGCGGAGAAGTCCTCCGCTGTCCCGGGGCGATCTTAAAATGCCACCCGCCAGCATTTTAAGATCGCCCCGGACAGCGGAGAAGTTCTCCGCTGTCCCGGGGTTTTTTAAAATGCTGGGGGTGGGAAGAAAAGCCCTTGTCCCCCCCCCAGCCTTCAGAAGAGGTCGGGGGACAGACTGTCCCTGGACCTGGTCTGAAGTCGGTTTCCATAGGAATGCATTAATTGATTTTCAATGCATTCCTATGGGAAACCGTGCTTCACAAGACGAAAAACTCGCAAGAAGAAAAAACTTGCGGAACGAATTAATTTCGTCTTGCGAGGCACCACTGTATAGTGAATGTTTGTTATATATATATATATATATATATATACACACACCGTATTTTTCGCACGATTGGACGCACCGGACGCACCTAGTTTTCAGGGGGGGAAATCAAGGAAAAAATATGATCCCCCCCCCCAGCTCTGGGAGCAGTGGACAGGCTGCACGCAGCCTGTGCGCTACTCCAAGACCTTCTCCCTGCTTTTGCGGGAGGTGGCGGAATTCCCCCATCTCCCGCAAAAGCCCGCAGGAGGGAGAAGGGACTGACTCGGCCAGTCAGTCCCTTCTCCCTCCTTGGGGAAAAGCCCCCAAGAGCTGCGCGCTCTGTAAAGGCTGCGCGGCTCTTGCAGGCTTTTCTGCGAGGTGGGGGAATCCCCCCACCTCCTAGAAAAGCCAGCAAAGCCGCGCAGCCCCTTTAAAGAGCGCACGGCTTTTGCCTGCTTTTGCGGGAGGTGGGGGAATTCCCCCATCTCCCACAAAAGCCCGCAGGAGGGAGAAGGGACTGACTCGGCCAGTCAGTCCCTTCTCCCTCCTTGGGGAAAAGCCCCCAAGAGCTGTGCGCTCTGTAAAGGCTGCGCGGCTCTTGCAGGCTTTTCTGCGAGGTGGGGGAATCCCCCCACCTCCTAGAAAAGCCAGCAAAGCCGCGCAGCCCCTTTAAAGAGCGCACGGCTTTTGCCTGCTTTTGCAGGAGGTGGGGGAATTCCCCCATCTCCCGCAAAAGCGCGCAGGAGGGAGAAGGGACTGACTCAGCCAGTCAGTCCCTTCTCCCTCCTTGGGGAAAAGCCCCCAAGAGCCGCTCGCTCTTTAAAGGGTGCGCGGCTCCTGCGGGCTTTTCTGCGAGGTGGGGGAATTCCCCCACCTCCTAGAAAAGCCAGCAGAAGCCACGGAGCCTCTTTAAAGAGCGCGCGGCTTTTGCCTGCTTTTGCGGGAGGTTGGGGAATTCCCCCATCTCCCGCAAAAGCCCACAGGAGGGTTGGAGAGTAGCGGGAAGGCGTCGCGCGCCTTCCCGCTGCCCCCCATCCTCTGGGGCTGGCGATGGGGGAAGCGCTGCTTTTCCCCCGCCAGCCTCAAAGAGCAGACTCTCCTGGCTTCAGCGGAAGCAACGGGAAGCCTCCGGAGCGCAGGCTTCGGAGGCTTTGCCTTGCTATCGCTGAAGCCAGGGAGCCTGCATTCGCTCCATAGGATGCACACACATTTCCCCTTAGTTTTTAAGACGGAAAAACTGCGTCCTA